ACAAATACAGTACTTTTAATTGATTTACTTAATTAATTTCAACTTTTAAGAGCAAAGTTGATTAATTCCATATTTAGAATAGGACAGAATAGAATAGAAAATCCCTTATTGTCCCAAAATGGGAAAATTCTGCTATATTTTTGCAGTTATTCATAATTATTCTATGCTGAACATAACTAATTGCTAGTGGTTCATCTCAGCTTAGACAGATGGTCAGATGGTCTGCACTGGGGTAGACCTGAGGTGATTATATTTTGGAAAGTAATACTTTGTTGCAGAGGGAGCCGCTGTGAAACAGTCATGCAAAATGAACGGGTGATCGCACACTGCTTCCTTGCACATTTAAATTATATTTACAAACATGCAGGAAACAAACATGTGTTACAATCTAGATGTGCAGATCAACCCCTTGGCCCTTTATAATAGAATATGACAGAGGTATTTATTTATTTTTAGTCTCTCTAAAGCATATATTTGGCATAGAAAAAGCTTCTGCAGCCCCTCTTCGCCCATAAAAACAATGACACATCTGTATTAAGCTTACTTTGCCATTTCATATTAACATATAAATTCTTATTTGTTAAATAAATAGGTTGCATTCAAGAACGTCCCTTATTCATCCGCTTTTTTTTCCCCTTTTCCTCAAACTTTTTACTGAAATGGAATAGAACTTTAACACATAAATACACGTTTCCTCCAACAGAGGTTGTTAGGGTGGCTTTTCAGCTTAAAAGCATTTCCTTGTCACTCTGGCAGACTGTTCATGCTGCTCAATGGTGAGTCACACTCCAGGAAGATTGGAGAAGCATGAGTGGGTTCTTTGATATTTTGCAGACTGACTTCCTCGCCCTTGAAACCTGCTGGTGAACCCCTGTTGGTCTCCTGAGCATAATAAACAGAATCATTGGATAATAGTTTTCTGAGAAAGACAATGAAGGAAAGAAACTATTAATTGTTCTTTTATTTCACTGTGTTGAGAAGAAAGGTATTAAAGTATTGATTAGACTACTTAAATAAAATACATTCAAGATGTAAATTAACCTCTTTATCTTTTCCTTGTCAGTTTTCCTTGTTGTTCTTACGCTATTTCTTGTTTTAGTAGTTTTTATTGGAGTCTATTGTGGTCATGAGGCAAAATGCTGGGAAAATTTTACATTGAAAAACGCAGAAATTAAACAAACAAGTGAAAAAGTTTAAATCCATTTATTGTTTTTCTGTTTTTTTTACCCTGCAAAATCAGACATTTTTGTTTAAAAAGAGGACAAAGGAGTGCCTATGATGTTTTTTCAAAAGTATTAATTCCTTGTTAATTGTTTCAATTAAGCCTCGCATTTCAACTTGCTGTATTTTATTGTTGTTTTGTCTGATAGACCAAGACAAAGGGAGTTCTAATGTTAAATTGGAAACAAACTAACTAACCAGGAAGAAATTGGAATGAATGGTTTTACTTTAAGTTTGTCAATATGATTTAATTTGACTCCAGATTAGTATGACAGTTTCCACAAGAAGGAGCATGAAAGTCCTGGGTTTGAATGCCTTGGCTCTTGCGTACATGAGTGGGTTCTATCTAATGACTCTTGACTTCCATCGACAGTCCAAAAGAATCAGTGTTAGGTTTATTGCTATCTTTTAACATACCCAAAATATAAGTATGTAACTGCATGTTTGTTCTGTACATGTCTATATTGCCCTGAGATGGACTAACAAGCTGTCCAGGGTATACCCTGCCTCTTGCCCTGTTGTTAGATAACACTCCATGACAGTGCTCCAGCAAGGACAAGAGGATATAGATTGAGTGAATCAAGTTTGCTAATTTAAGCTTTAAGTACCCCAAGAAATTAAAACTGAGAGAAAATGATTTAGGTAGAAAATGACTGGAATTTTCTTTGAGATTTGAGTCTGGTTGAGTATAGAACTTCAAAATGGAGAACATGTACGGTAGTCACCATTGGGGCTTTCAATGCTTTTCTTTATTTAGCACAATGTTTTGTCTCGACCTCCATATTTAAGGACCAGATTTGTAAAGTGCTTTACAAAGTTTTACTGTAGACGCTTTTCCCCACCTCACTTGTGTGCTGGATCCTATGGAGATGTTTCATTATGCAGGGGATGAATACATATGCCCCCTAAAGTGGGTCATTGTGTCATGACAACATTTGAAAACTTTAAAGAGGTTTGAATACTTCTGCACTATCTATTAATATCATGGTTATATATTTGAAATAGATTAACTATTTGACATTATGCCTGTACTAATTCTGAGTTATCTGACTCATGACAACGACACATTTTGACACCCACTTATTCTTTAGAAAAATTTAGCAAAATTCCAATTTCCTCAAATTAAAGCCTGCCTATGGTTCTTTGACATTTCTTTCCTTAACACATGATGTTGCTTCTTTATTTTTAAGGTAAGTAGTATAAAGTATGTTGATATAAAAACTGATAAATAAATGAGACTGTGGCAAGTTTCTCTTGGCAGCTCTCTTTAGTTGTCATAGAACCACTTGCCCTATTTCAAGTTTGAGTTAGCCATGACACTCTGGTGGGAGGAGCCGCTGGCGAGCAGTTGACGCGAGGGCGGTCAGAGATGCATTTGCGATGCATGGTTATCTGACAGAGATGAATGTTGCATGATGTCACCATCTGCCGACACCTGATTGACAAGCCCATTCATGGATGCTTGTTACGGCCTTTGTGCTTTACTTCCTGCTACGGTTGGATCTTTATCTGCTGTAGGCATTAATCTTTCTAGGGTTGCACCAACGTCCCCAGTTCTTAAACTGGGACAGCCAAAGGCATGAAGAGATTTGCAGGCTTTCAAAGAAGAGGAGCTGATTAAAAATACATGTGGAAGCTTTTTGTCATCATGGAGCCATCAGTTGTTGAAGGTTGACAATACAATTTCACTTCATGGAAATGAATTAGGATGGCCTTATTCATTATGCATGCCCTTTGGTTTCTTTTTCAAGATGGCCATTGTGTCATTTCTAAACAGATGAAAGCCAGACGGGGGCAGTGATAACCCAGTAATGTATTTCTGGATGTTAAACATCTGTCTTGCTGTCAGTCTGAAACCATTCTGTTCAGTTCTTTGTCTCTCTGGGTCAGGTCCTCATCTACCCAGGCTCCTGGTCTGAAAGAGAAAATCAGGACAGTGTTTTCAGAACAATATAACTGAGCTGCTCCCATTTTTATTGAGAAAAATCGGAGGGTGGAGGTGCACAGGACCAGAAATATCTTTCTTTTCCAACCCACAGACAGAAAGCTGGCTTTGTAACAGTCTGTGTTTAAATGCAAGGCACATAAAGTCATTAGCTCTGCTCTGATTTAGTTGTATTTTAACAGCCTTTGTATAATATTGCTCTAGTTAAATGAGAAAGGTTTTACCATATTTTGTAGAGTTTCCGACAATCCTCCATCTTTTTCAGACATAAGTTACATTGGAACTGTACTATATGGATTTTGGTACCCACATAATAATAAATAATAAATAAATAATAATAATAAAATTGTTGTACTTAATTAAGTTTAACCTTAGGCCTAACAGAGTCAGCACTGTTGCTAGACAACTCCTGCTCACCAGCTCTCTTTAATCTCAAGTTTATTACTCTTGAGAAGACATGGCCCGGTTACCAATATCAAGAATTTCTAAGGCTAAAGAACCAAAAAGCACGTCTCCAAAACCAACAAAATATCTCACTGTCACAGCAGGTGAAAGTCTTTTCAATGAAATTTCAAAGAAAGGGCTGGTGTGTCTGGATTTTTTCCTGTCCTAACGTTTTTTAATTCTCAATGCTGCATTTCCCTCTAATAGTTGCAGCTCACTGCTAGTCAGCTGGCTAAAGGAGAGTTGCATTTCTTTTCCTAGGTTTACATAAAACACATAGTTGACTGTTGGTACTGTTGTAAAGCCTGTAACTCACGTAGGGAGGCCTTAAGGGCTGGTTATCCTCCTGCAGCAGTGTGTCGCAGTGAGCTTGTCGCAGATATTTTTGATTTATGCCCAATATTGAAGCGTGTTCTGTGCTATTATTCCATGCCACACCGAACTAGCTGTGGGTCTAGATATTGCTGAGGCGGTGAGGAAGTGGGGGCAAGTTTGTGTGACAACGGAGGGACATGAGGGCAAAAAAGTGCGGGGATACAGGTGGAAAACGGGTCCCAACGTTCTTGCGCACCTCACTCTTCTAGCTGGTCCAACTTCACGACTCGTTTACAAGACTTCCCTCTTCTCAGACATCTATGCCAGCTCTGCAAGGGGAGGCCCAAGGCATTCCCAGGCCAACCAAGAGATATGGTCTCTTCAGCATGTTCTTGGCCATTCTCAGGTTCCTCTCCTGGAAATGCCTGGAACATTTCCTGAAGGAAGCATCCAAGAGCCCCCTCAGCTGACTCCTCTTGATTTGGTGAAGGCAAAACCAAGGTTCGAAAATCAGCCAGACTGTCCTCTCCAGCACTCTGGCATAGGCCTTTCTTTGGGAAAAAGAAAAAGAAAGGGGACCTAGATTGGTAGACTTGGGTGGTGGATACTCTGTGACCAACCGCAATGTTAAAGAGGTCTGTTAGCCACAAAAGCCCAACAACATCCAGAGAACTGAGGTACTCAGAATGCATCTCAGACACAAAGCCTTAAAATGATTGAGTTTTTTGACCACTTCGGTGACTTCAGCTCTTTCTAAAAGAGTGTCTCAGTGAAACTGTCCTTTTGAACTGTCATATCTTTATCAAAGTGAAACATGAAGTCAAAGCTAACGTAGTGAAAGCTGCTCAAAACATTATTCAAGTATTATTTCGATTACTAATTAAGAAATATACGTGAAAGCAGATCAATTTATATTTTATATTTATATTTCCTGATATTGGAATAGGTGCCATTGCAACAGTCTCCTCCTTTGTTTTTGTTCTAAATGCTCTTTATATTATCAGTTTATTATTATTGTCCATAGCAATGTAACTGTCTAATTTTATTAAATTGGTATTTCTCTGTCTCTTTCCAGGTAGTGCTCGTCTTCGCTCTCAGCATTGGAGCCCTTGTAATATACTTCATAGATTCTGCTGAGTGAGTATTGTGCTTAATGAATGAAGTCAGCATGTCTTTATGAAAGCTACAGTGCCTTACATGTCCCTTACTTTAGGCAGTCCAAATGAAAATAATAATAACATGTAGATGCTTATATACATTATGGAGATTTGAAGATTTTTTTATTTTTTTTATTTTGAAATTTGACCTTGTTGATAAACCAGACTAAATGTGAGATTAAATGTGTAATTTAGTCTGGCCCCGATGAATGAGACATTGGAAGAATGTTGATGAGAACAACCTGTTGTCTTGTTCATGTCTGTGCCTATTGGACATCGCTCTGACCAATGAGTGCAACTGTCTGTAACGTAGTAAGCACGAAAGAAAGCTGGTGGGGGAGTGTAAACAAAACAGCATGTGAAACGGCTATCGGTATAACGGCAAATACGTCCTTCTTAAAAATGAATGAGCGTAGAGCCTCTTCCTGCTCACATTTCAACGAAAGTTTAATCCTTCCAAACCTGATTCCAAAGCTGAATCAAACCAGAACAACATTAGTTGTTGCCATCTTCCTTGTTGTGCTTTCTCCAGCGTTGCGCAGCTTTGTCGTCACGCCCTCATAACCCCGCCCGCTTTGCATCCAAAAATTCAAAACACATCTCTGTGTTGTGATTGGCCAGCCAGTTCTAGGGCCTGGGGCATTGTGCGAGGCTAGACCCACTTGCAGGCAAAAATAATTTTTGCCGCTGGCAGGTGGGGCTAGTTTACTAGGCTACCTTGTTGAAGCTGTGCTGACCACATTTGGTCTGAAAGGTCATGGAAGATTACCTGAAAGTTCAAATAACAAGCAGTACTGGTGAAGAGTTTCTTTAAACCATATGCATGAATAATAGAACTGGGTATTGATTCAATTCACATTCTCCAAGATCTGGTCTGGTCCAATCTAAAATTGGATTGCTGGTTCAGATACCTGAATTACAGTTCAGTTATGAATATATTGATACTAGTATTACAATAAAATTCAACAGTAAATTGATAAAGTAATGGCAGTTAATAGTGACTGTAAGGACAGTGGAAAATGCATTTTAAAAATTTGTATTTAGTTATATGAATCAAACTTTAGAAATTAGTATAAGAATCAATTCAGAATTGGAGTTTTTTTAATGCATTAAGATTATATTAGGCTAACAATGCATTTCAATCCCTGATTTTTTAAATAGTGCGATAAATGATCAGGTAGTTTAAGCAGGTGTTAACAAAATATAAATAGGATGCACATGTTTTTAGCCATTGCATATTTATTGTAATCTAAAGTAATGCAATTAGGTTCAAATATTTACAATGCACCAAACATTATATAAATTTTTGTTTTCCAGTGTCTACTCCCAACCTTTTGAGCTTAGCGCAGTGATTCCCCACTCATACCCCTAGTGGTCTGTGAGTCCATCGCAAGGGGTACATGAAAATATTTTATTTCTGACGTAGTAAAATAAAATAGGACTTGGATCTGTTTTGCTTTGTAAGGACCCAATGGAACGATTAAACAAGTTTTTGTTATATGTTTGAATTCACCTTTAGCTGTGACACACATCAACATCAGAGGAACAAACTGGTATCAGTTGTTTTTCACACTGAGCTATCAGAGCTCATCAAAGCAGCTCAGGTGTTTTGATGAAAACAAAGTAAAACTAATTAAGTCAATCTAACTGTAATTGTTGTTCTGCATTTTGTTCCCAATTCATCAAGTCTAAATGTGATTATAAGAGAGTTACTCAGAGGATCTCCAGTTGTATAAATACAGGTTTATATCATGATTTTATTTTGTATTTATTTTGATTCCTTACTAACTTCCAGGCAACATATTTATGTTGTTTTTTTAAATCTGAGATGGAAAGTATAAAACCCCTTAGAATTAAATACACAAATTAAAACCTTAAGTAATTTTTTATTTTAATTTAATAATCATTAATACTTTTGACTGAGAGAGGTTCTCATGGTAAGAGAAAATGCCCAAAGGGGTACATACATCAAAAAAAGTTGGGAAACTGGCATAGAGTATAGGCTAATTATGTATAGTTTGATGTAGTTGAGGTTAGGCAATAGAGGATGTCCTTCCATAAACTGAACTTTAGTACGTGTTTTGTCTGTCTTCTATAAAGGAACAATCAATGTAACTGCTGGATCAATAAACGGCACCTTGATGATTTCTTATTCTGACTTATTCTATAAGTCAGAATAAGAAATCATCTGACTTATTCTATAAGTCAGAGGTTTACATGGTTTTCTTTATACTTATACTTGATTGCTTTGTTTTGTTTTTTTGTTTTGCTTTTTTTTCTACTGTGGTGCGAGTGGGGGCACTAGGGAGGGAAAGCGTGATTGAGATTGTGAGTTTTTTTTTTCTCCCAGGTTGGGGTCTAAACTGCCCCCTCTCTTGATTGCTTTGAATGATTTTGGTCCATATTTTCTTATTGGTTTGTTGGAGTTTTTACTCAGTTCTTATAACAGAACAACTGGCAGAGACTCTAAACCTTTCAGCTATGGCAAAATTAGTTTGTTTAGGAATAAGATCAGGGCCTCACTTTTCTGTACTTCAGTAGGTTTGTTGTAACATGAGGTTGTTGTCATAAACCAGGACAGAAGGGCCCAGTATTCACGGTAAGACAGCCAGTAGGAAAGTTCTAAACATTTATTAACACAAACATAACAGAAAAGAAACACGCTGCCGTGGATCTGCGGCTCCTACAGGAGGGGGGCGGGGCACCGCCCAATCTCAAACACTCTGGTTGTAGGAGAAACAAAGGTAAGTGACCGTGATCATCTGAACAGAAGATGATAATTAGAGTGAGTCACTTACCTGGTTTAACAGTACAGTCCACTCTCTCAGTCATAGGCAGGATAAGCCGATGCACTGCCAATGAGAGGTGGCCCTGAGCTATCCAGAGT